CACTTCCCCCCTTTCTCTCGAGCCCCGTTTCACCACCCTCTTCGCCGTTCTGTGTTCTCCGGAGAGGTCGCGACCAGCAATCAGCGTAATGCACCCGCAGACACACCCCTGCCCACCCTCGTCGTCGCCCCCGCGCACAGCCACGGCTCTCCACCACGTAGATGTGTGCACGTGGACGGTACACACGCACACCCATATACACGTAGACGGAGCGCACGGGCCACGACAAACGGGCAGGGTACATACCCCTGGGCCAAAGGCCCCGATAACACGAGAGAGCCCCAGAGTAATGCGGACGCAATGGCAATCTCTTCGAGAGCAACGAAATAGATCGTAGGACGTAGACCGATGGTGCAAAACCATTGCGGCGGCCGTTCCCGGCCTTCCCTGCCAGCCTCTGTCCCTCTTCCCCCGACCTTCCGAAAGCCTTCAGCCTCGGAAATCCCGCTGTGGTCTCGCCGTGAACTCGACGGAGTCGGGGCATCCCCCGACGACGTATATCCAGCCCGTTCCACCGGGCGCCGAAAAGTTGTCGGGAATTCGTTGCGCGAAGACGCCGCTCGAATTCTTCTTGTGTGCTCGCGAGAGGGGAAATTTTGCGGGATCGTATTCGGCGTATTCGCGGACGTCATCGGAAATGTGCGGGGTAGGGGCTCTCTCTTTCTCATTGCGCATTCGAAAAGTGCCTCGCACGGCTTGTTCTACGTGAAGCTCTACGGGGGCGGCGGTTTCGCGTTTGAAAAGTCGTTGGGCTGATTTGCGGCGGCCCGGGTTGGTTCCTCGGAGTATCGAAAAAGTTAGTATGCGGGCGCCTCTTCACGGACATGGGCCGTGAAGCGTGTCGGAAGTTCCGGGGGTGTAGCGCACGGCCGGTCGTGTATAAGTTCCACGGGGTTCCCGCCGCGGTGCATTCAGGAAGGAATGACACACACACGCGCGAACCTCTTGCCAAGCAAAATAAAGCCTCGCGGATCAGTACTCTTTTTCTTCATATCCCTCTCCCTCTCTTTGCTGCACTGAGAAGAAAAGCGGTTGGATCGGCAAAGTCGACGGCCATGCTCGTTCAGAAAAAAAATATTGCGCCTACTTAATCAATTACGCGTTGATGCAGTTGCCGACCAAATCGCAATCGTTGATAGGTAGGCGGACGGGCGGAAGAGGCAGGGGGAAAAAGTAGCTCTTAAAAATCACCTCGAAAGTGCAAATAATTACAAAGCACCGGTTCAAACAAAATCTCGCTGGTTCAACTTCACTTGTTTCTCCCGGTATGCGCATTGTATTTTCATACCAGCGAATATTATATTTTTGAATTTCTTTCAATACCCATTCGCGCATCCATTACATTTCATTTTCTCTTATTACATTCCAATAAAAATTTCCTTATTTGAGATTATTTTAATCTCAAACACGGATAATTCTCATGCATATTTTTCTCTATCCTCTCACCTGACCCGTATGAAAAGCATTCTTCCGCGAAGACTATTATTCCCGTGCTTTGAATAAAAAAGAGACAGCTTCCTTAGAATTTTTACAGCAATCATTCGCGTAATGATATTACGATAATAATATCGTAATATAACCGTCGAAGTTTCGCGCGTTTTGACAATACTTCCCCGGGACAGCTCTGAGGGGTTGCGAGAGAGCCTCACGTTCGTGGACATTTAGCAACACCGGGGGAATGGAAAGGAGGACGGTAATTCGAGGACGATACGACGTGAGATATTAACCCGACAATGACCTAAGACGCTAATTCCCGCTGATAGTACACTAGATGTCGCGTTTCACCCCAACAGCCGCGAACGCGCGCGCGCGCGCGCAAGCAAACTCATTATTCTTCTTGTCCTGAGGGCGCGTATCCCGCGCTCTTCGTCTACGCGCGAATAATCTTCGCCTGGATTTCCCATTGTATTATTGTGTCTGCCACCGGGTGATAAACTGCGCATTCCGCAGGGAACACGGCTCCGCTCATTACTAATATAGTCGCGCGACGGCGTCCTATCGTAGCTAACGGAGCTCTCATTGCGTCCCCGGAGGAACCCGAAGTTAAGCACTTGTCCGTTTCGAAAGCGACCGTCGCGAGAATTCCTCCTTCGTAAAACGAACCCGGCACACCGGATTCCCGGATCGAGTGGATCACGAGCGGGAGAACGCTGCCTCCCCCGTTCTGGAAAAGTGGCGGCACGTCCGTCCTCCGGACGGAGTGAGGCGGTGGGTATTTTGGACCATCGGACAGCCACATGCGCCCCTAATGGGCTATCTTTTATCTGTCGCCCTTTTAGGGAAAACAGACATCTGGGGGAGGAGCGGTAGCCGTCGGGAGAACTGGAAGTTTTCGAGGGAATTAATTGCGCTTAGGTTAAACGATTTATCTCCGCCGGGTTTATTTCGTTTACGATTAGAATTATGTAACGAGGTATAGCTTCCCGGCGAATTTCGCTGGAGGATACGCGGAATATCGTGAGCGAAAGAGCGGTCTTTGTAGTGCGTTTTCAGTGCCTCCCGCGGATCGGGATAATTTAATCAAAACTACGAAGCAATTTGCGACGCGGACCCCGGGTATCTTCATTAGCAATAGGGCGTAAGCGACGTCGCTAATTCAAGACAGTGGACCATCGGTGGATTACGGTAACTCGTTAACCGGCTAATACCTTTAAGCGGCTGAGTTTTTTCGCCGCGCGTTTTAACGGAGCTACCGCAAACATACGGACAGACCCCAGCCCGAGCCCGGTCCGATACGGCGGCTATATACGCGGCATATAATTGCCGTCACTATAAAGTATCGCGCGAGAGAACCGGGAGAATCACAGAGAGGGAAATCGAATCATCATCGAGACAAATGGAACATTGCGAACGCGAATGCCGCGAAGTCTCGATGCGAGGAATCTAATCATAAACAGTGCAAATGTTCGCAATGGTGGAACAAAATCGATTTTTGCAAATGGAGAAACGGCACACCGTTTAAAACCTCGTGAAAAAAAAAAAGGGAAACAATACGCGCAACCGATTGAATAACCAGAACGATTTTCAATGAAATTTTCGCGAAAAAGCGTGGAGAAGGAGGAAGAGACGGATGAGGAGGAACAAGAGGGAAAAAACAAAAAGATTTTAAGACGACGCAAAGAGGAGCGAAGGAGGGGGTGAGGAGATGAGGACTAAAGAGCACCTCTATGCAGAATCGATCGCTGAATTACGGCCACATTATGACTGCGAGACTTGCTAAGGCCGCACTTTCCTGGCGGCAGCGAGAATTAATCCGCGCGAAAGAAGAGTCGAGCAGCTTCGACGGCGGAAGCCGATGATTCATTTCGGAGGAAGCGCACGGTGCAATAGACGGCTTCGGAGGAAGGCTGGCCGGAGGATGACCGGGCGCGCGCAGTGAGAGGATTCCGGTAACGAGAAGCGCGCCGGGGCGATCGACGGGGCCGATTAAACGACCGAAAAGATGCTGACGTGTGTGGACCGCTGTGTGGGAAATTCGTCGGCGAAAATTTCCCCTATTAATCTCGCGGCACCGGTGTTTTCAATACGCGCGCTCGCGCTCCCGCCGCGACAAACGGCCGCGTTCGGACCGTGCCGTAAATTCCCCGTGACGTGTCCTTTATAATATATGTGCAGCAATCTGTCGCGAATCTACGTCGAAAGAACAGCGGGATGGATCGAAGTTGAAATTTGGAAAACTACTCGCTCTCCCATTTTTATTACTTTACGTTGTTTTAAGCGGTGTCCAACCGGTGATTGAATGATGGTCGTTCAGGCCGTGTGCTCGATCGGAATGTCTTCGCTGAAATGCGATAACATTTTATTTCCGTTCGTATCACTCTTCCGTCGTTTTATCGAAGGAGGGAGAGAAAAACTTATGCGAGGATTCGCGTGAATGAGAAATGGACGTGGTCATCCGCTCACGACGTTTTAATCCGCGTGGAAAAACGCGGATTTCTTCTGTTAGTACATCGCGTTGATTCTCGTTGATTGCACGGAAGTGTGATCGAATTATCAGAAATACAGTAAGTAAATAAATGTAATTCGAGATGCGCGTCATCAGTAATCACGATGACAATAATCAATAATTGCAACGCGCGTGTTGATTTAATACGCGATCCAAACGGCAAGAAACGCGTGAAAAGAGTTTCGGCCAAATTACATATGTAAGTAATAATAACAACGTTTAGTCCCGTATAGAGTTAGATCTGAGTTTTTCAGTTGAATTTTACGACACACACTTGTAAATATGATTTAAGCGGAAAATTCAGACCTAACTCTGAATTCAGATCTGAGTATCTCACTCGAGATAACTTTAAGTGGCGACAATTAGTGCGGATCTTAAATTTGCAGTGGACAAATTCTAAAAACGGCATGAAAAGTCGATACTCGAAATGATTAAAATCATCCTGGGATGCCGATTGGCCGTCGCGTTGCCGCGTCAGTCGGCTTGCTTCACGCGTGTGACGCTTGCGGCTGTGAAATCATTATGTGAACTCTGACAGTTGATCAGTTTGTACTTTTAAGAGGATAAGAAATTAAAATATTAAGGCTCCTGTGTACTCATCGCGGTTAGATCGTTTCGTGACGTCAGAAGCGAGAAAATCCGTGCCCAGAATTCCTGCGGTATGCGTTCAGATAAAAAAGATATATCCACGGAGTGACATTTGTGAGCGATTTAACGCACTTTTAAAATACTCCGTACATTTGGTTGTTGCTCGAGAAACCAATAAACAGCTTGAAAATCAACGTGACAGAAGCATGAGAAAGGCAACAGGTCCAAATGGATGGATCGCATGTCATGTTAATTTTACGGCTAGGAGCCTTGAAGAAGACGAAGGAGAGAGAAATAGGCTCTCTTCAGTCTGATAGAAAGAACTTTAGTTACTCCGATACCCACTTGATCACGCGAACTGAGATTTCTTCCCGTGCGACAATAATCAGCTGAATAACGCGAGTCTGTGTAGTTCGAGCGATTGAAAAGTCCCAGCACAATAATTCGCACAATTCTCTCTGTTTAGCCGATAGGCATGCACCTGAAGAAATACGAGTGGGTGGGCTCGCCGGACATCGGCGACTGCTCGTTATGGGTGCGATCCGCCACGCTCGAGTTCGACGACGGGCTCTGGCAGTGCCAGGTGACCGCGAGTGATTTCACGACGCAGGACGCGTTAGCATCCGAACCGGCGAGGCTGGTCGTCAGAGGTAAGAGCGAATTCCCAGCGACGCGGGCTCCTCGTTAATTATTTCGCAAGAGGGAGACTCGCGCATCCCGTTTCATCGCGGTCCCCGATTCACCGCTAGATATTCCGAGCGAACCGTTCAAGGAAGGATACCGGGCTAATATCGGCTGTTTACATCGCTGCCTCGCTCAGCGGCTCGATAATCACCGCGTAATTCACGGGGCTGAGAAACCCTGGATCGCATTCAGCCCCGAGCTGGCTTATTTTCTTGCTAATAGTTATCGAGACAATTGATATGGAAAGCTCGTGGTCCGGCGCGCTTGATGAAACGCCGACGTGATTGCTGCGCGGCGTGCAATAACTCGCCTAACTCAATAAATAATTGCGGAATCCGCGCGCGCGCCTCTTGTCATTGCCGCTCGAATCGTGTCGAGTCGCACTGCGCCATACATGACGTCGTCGTGTTTTCCGTCGGCGAAATCATGGCGGATTATCGTCTTCCGTCCGGGGAATCGTACATTACGCCCGGATATACTCCGATTACCTTTGTAAAACCGCCCGAATGACTCTCTTTCGATGTTACAATCGCCCGATAATCCTGCGACACAGTTGCCAATGAAACAACAGGATTTGTTGCGGCGCGCCGTGAAAATGGAACCGAGGGAAGGGAGGGAGCGGACAAGAGAATCCCCGTCGTGCGCTTTCTTTCTCTCTTTTCCTCTTTTTTAATCCCCGCGCGGCAATCGTTGTTCCACACTGCGGCCGTGCGCGTTAATATTCATAATGGCTGACAATTCGAATTATTTCGATGTTTTGTCGCGTTCGTGTAAATTTGCTGCCTGCGCGACAAAGAGCGGATTATCCGCGTCGGTTCCCGAGTTTCATCTTGTATCTGTTTTTTTTTCTCTCTCTCTCTCTTTTTTTCGTAAGACAATCGCAGTGGGAGGAACATCCGGCGGTTTCCGGGACGATCCGCGCGCATATAGCCGAGCGATCCGGCATACGGCGGATTAATCTCTGCTAATTTTCTCATTCCAGTCAGCCCTCAGCGACCGCAGATAGAGTACGCCGACCGTCTAATTCTCCCCGGCAGCAACGTGACAGCCCGAGCAGGTGAGATCGCTACGCTCACTTGCAGAGCGCGGTATGGGAATCCTTCGCCTCTAATTAAATGGTTCGTAATTGTTGCACGTAGATTCCGTACTACTTAACTTGTGCGCCGCCGCCGTTGTCGGCGAACCCCTTTGGCGCGTCTTGCTCGTTCCCCGCGTTCTCTCGGTCTTCGCAGACGCGTTCCTTCCGCTCATTTGCCCTCAGCCCGTAATCATTCGGCGATTTGTGGACTTTATGAGCCCGGAGATTAGGTGGAATGTACCGGCGATAAGTGCGAAGGGGTGAACGCATGATACGGGGACCGCTGTGGCACACGTCCTCTTTGCCTTAATCTTCGCGAAGAGCGCTTTCGAAAATTCAGATTCCAGACGGGTAACGTGGAATTATTGGTCTGGCAAAATTGGAAACCACCCCGCAGCTTTAAAAGCCGTTCCATGATAGCGTGAAGGATTCAATAAGACCGAAGCAGTAAGCTAATTCGAATAGTCCGACCGCAGTCGATTATTTGTGGACCGTAATGGGTCGTCTATAATAAAGTTAATCCGTAAAATATACAACAAGACGTAAGGAATCTATTTCCAGTTTAGAAAGTCGCGGCATTAGCCGTGAGCGAAATGAATCATTTCCATTTCGGTATTGCCTACGGTTTGCAGCAAGCATCTTGCGTAATCTCAAACGATCTGTTCTCTCATCGACCGGCTTTGCATCGTTGCTGCCGCCACGTCGTCTTCTGGACGTAGTGGACAGTATTGTGGATAGACAGTTATAAAAAGTGCATTACTGCTTGCGTTTTACTACTTTATTGCCTACTGCCAATCCTATTGCAGACGGACCGTAAGAATCCAATTGGTCAGTTAGCTCACTGCGTACTACGTCTTACTACATACTTTACGCTATTGTCGAATGGCCTTAATGAGCGAAAGCCGCGATCACGAAGTCGCCGTTAACACGTTCGCTGCCGCAGCTGAGTCGTATACGCTCCATGTTAAACTTTCTGTTTGAGCCGTTTCATATTTTTATTATTTAAATATAACTTATCATAAAATATGTCGTGAATAATCATATATTGATGCCGAAATATCATGCATATTGTATATTGCAGTTATCACGTCGTGGGATGCAAGCGATCCACATAGCGTCACTTTTTTTCTAGATGTTTTCATTTTTAAGTCAATTCTGTAAGTCAGCTTTGCGAAACTTGCTATAAAAATAATGTTTAAAGGTGTGAATATCGGTAATAAATTCTACTATAAAAAGAAGAAGCCTCTTCCCTTCTTTGATACACCAAAATATACATACACAAAAATTTCTGAAAACAATCTTGTTTATTCCGTAACGCATCTCATATGTCATGTATTTTCCTTTCTTCAATAATCATTTCTACGATCGATTAAATATTATAACGCATATATTATAAGTAAAATTGTCAGTCTTGACAACACGGGGCGCATACGATCCGCGCGGTGTGAGAAAATCAGTCTGGCAGCGAACGTGTTCAACTCCGGTCTCACGAGTATCGCCATTTCGCACCGTGTCGTTTGCAATACTCAAAACGATTCGCTCTTAACGATGATCTTCGAGCTGTCCAGCTTTCAGCAGTGACCTTCCTCTTGTATTTATTCGTGCTTGTTTGCAAGGTCGCGTTTCGCGGATTCGGCGATTAAACGAGCTGTCGTACGTAACCGAAATACACTATCGATCCTCCGCAGCGTCCGCCACCGTCGGCGCGCCTCACCTTCGCCCGTCGTCGCGAGGGCTTGTTCGAGCCCCCGTCGCTTGAAGATTCCACGTAATGCATCGAGGACGCTGTCGATAGTGGAACATGCGCCCCATGAATAATCATGATCCGTTTCTGCCCGGGCGAAGTTAAGGAGCTGTACACGATGCATTTCGTGCGACGTGAGAGAAAACGCCGGACGCGAGTGTCACGCGAAGGGGAGCGTGGTGAAAATTCGAAGGGAAGCACGACCTGTTCGCCCGCCCGTCACGCGTTATTTCCGAAAGCGGAAAGAGCTCGCGGGAACGCGCGTTTAATGGCGTTCGCGGCGGGATAAAAACAACAAGCTGCGCGCGGTGAAGCGCAGTTTCTACCCTTTCCTTCTCTTCTTTCTCGTTCCTCTACTCTTTCTTTCTCTCCCTCACTCTCTCTCTCTCTCAGTCTCTCCCGTCTCTTTCGGCTTTAAGGTAGTTGTAGTATGAGTTTTTTAAGAATTCATTGAAACTTGCACTACGTATACATTCAAATATGATCTAATTATTGGCGCAATTAGTAAACGATTGACCACTCGGAAACTGAGATATTCGCAACTAAAGATTGACGTATTTTATACGTGTCCCTTGATATTGATGTCCTATTCTTAATTGTTGCTTTTTATTTCTTCTAAACCACATTTAGGATTATAAACTACTGTGATATCAAGGATTAATATAGAGGCATTGTATAAAAACGTTCGAATTATTGACTATTTTGTCTTGAACAGCCATAGAAAGTTTACTTTCTATTACGTATGCACCCCTACTAGCTTAACTGGCGTATAAATAAAGCATTAATAAAGCATTAATAAGGAAAATAAAGAATAAATAATATCTGTCGTGTTTGCAATATTGTGTGTATATTTCTTTTCATTTCGCTCAAAATCAACATTCATTACTTAGATAGTTGACTAAACTTAGAGAAAAGTATATTTTCTCGATGAATAATATGCTTACGTTCCTTAATGCCTCCGCTGAAAATCCGGCGCTCTACGATACAACTACCTTAAACCTGGCAATTTTCGGTGAATGCGACGGCCATCCACGAGGGCGCGTCGGGACGCCCTTCAAATTGTAGACGAGGTCCCTTGACAAGGCGACCGCTGCCAGCTCTCAGTCCGCCCGCTGCTCTCGCTTACCCACTTACTCACTGGGAATTATCCTAATTGACACACGCGGCGCAGCGCGAATATGTGTATGCATAAACGTATTAATTATGACCGACCGGGGAGAGACCGGAGAAAGACGGGCGGACGCAATCGACGCTGAGTAGCTATCGAGTCCCCGTTCATAAAAACGCAATCGCCGTCGAAGCGTCGACCGACGGCATCGCCGATCGTTGTTTTTCCGTTATCATCTCGCGATCGCAATTCTCGCCGGGCGGCTACCCGCGAGCATCGTTAATTAATCCCTTTTCACGTCGTATCGTCCCGAGATACATGTCGCTTTTTAACGACATGTCGCTTATGTGCCCGCGATTTCTTCATCGCGGATTACCGGGAATGCTTTATCGTCGTTCGAAATTCCGCACTCCGACGTGCCGGCTAATTGCTTACGTTATTTCTGTGTCCGAGGGACGGACGGATGTAAGTTAATAAACTCGACGGGAAAGCGCGAAGCCCCGAAGTCGCGCGAATGTTTCTCTCTCTCTCTCTCTCTCTCTCTTTTTCTTTCTTTTTTTTTTGCACGCGCGGAAAATGTCTAATAAATATGGATAAAGTCGCGCGACGCTAAGTTTAAACTTAACGCGCGAGTTAACACGGTTCTTCGCGGCGTGTTGTTGATTTAAACACGCGTTCCCACTTTAGAAAAGTACAGATGGCTCGCGATTCACGCGGAGCTACAGCTGCTCTTTATCGTAATTGCGATTCGCTACGTGAACCGTCGACTAATCGCGCCCGGAAGACTCGGTTCAATTAACTTCACTCTGTGACATATCGGTTTCGGTTTCCTCGTTGCCGTGATACGAATGTATCCCCATCCCCCATCCCTTCTGTTTGTGAGATACGGATTTGTTCGGGAATCCATCGGATACGTAATACGTTTCCCCGTATCACCATTCACATCGACCTGCCTATAATAACCGAGCATCGAGAGGCTTAATTCGCAGGAGTGCTACCATTCGTCCGGGCTCCCGAGGTTCCCGAAGAGCAAATCTCGGCGTAATTCGCGAATTTCGACAAGAGGAGCTCGGTGAGAATAAAGGACTAAAAAATCCGAAAGCGAAGAATCAGAGAAAAAGAGAGAGAGAGAAGGAAAGGGCGATGGGGAAAGGGCAGCGCTACCATCCAGTCACTTAAGCCATCTTTTATCACTTTTTCTTGACAAGTTACTAAAAAATCCACTATCGTCCGGAATGGGTCATTGTACACAGAAAAAGAATTAGTCTTAAATCAAAGGTAGATATTCTTATATATAAGCAAGAATATTATAATCTTAGATGGGTTTCAGTCTCGATCTGAGTAAATTTATATTGTTTATTTGCATTGTTGATTTTTAATCTTCATTTGTATTAGATCGGTATTGTTGATTGAACTAAAATTGATGTAGATATTACTTAAACTTAATTCACGACTAAAAATTTTCTAAGAAAATTATAATATTCTCGCTTATACATGAGAATATCTATTCGGGATCCAAGACTATTTTTTCTGTTATTTTTTCTGAGTTATTTTTTTTTTTTTCTTTAGCTGCCGTTAAACTTGTAAAATATAGGCGTTCTATATATATTTTTTCTATCTTTCTTAATAAAATTGCCTCAAGAGCATATTTATCTTGTATTTATCATTCATGCCCTTGGCCTTTCCTTGTCATGAACTTTCAAATCGCACTATGAAAAGAACTCGTTGTATGTTAATTTATCCAAAGATAAACCCGGGAAGGCGAGAATGTTAATCTTTTGGTTTTAGTTGCTCTCAGAATTTGACAAAAAATTTCACTTTTAATGTCACTATCTTGGTGCCTGGGAGATCACTTTTTCTCACCCTTTTTGCCAAGCAGCAGTCATTATTTCGCTGTTTTTGTCCCGGTGACTGGATGGCAGCGCTGGGAAAGGGGGATGGGGAAACGCAAAGAGAGAGAGAATCGCGCATAACTCGAGGAAGATGATGACGTGAACGGGAAACGGGAAGAGGAGGAGGAAAAAGATGGGGATGGTGGTGGTGTTGATATTGAAGGGGAGCGAGTAAGAGTTGTTGCAGAACGGCCATTGGAAATGCAAATTTTCCGGGCGATGCAGGTACGTGGGCGAGACCGAGCTGAGGACGTTGCGGCCGCAGGTAAACTCGACCGAGATAGATAATCCGCGCACTTGGGCGACCTACAGTGTTTGCGAGATTCTGGCCGAGCGATCACGTTACGGCCAGCCGATCAGATGCGTCGCCATCCATCCGGCATACGCCAATCCCACCATGTCCTCCAGCATCGAAGTGAGGTTCGACGTGCGATGTGAGTACACGTGATCTTCTTGTAGAGCTTCGCTGATCGACCGATTAGGTTCACATCTTGCGCGGGAAGCTCCTTCTGTCTTCCCGCGCGCACGCGCGCGTGTGTGTTTGTGTGTATGCATGTGTATGTGAGAAGAGAGAGAGAGTGAGAGGGGGGAGCGGTGCGAGTGTATCAACGCGGTGCTTTACAAACGGAGGTTTATGAAGCCCCGAGCACGAGCGAAGAAGGAGGAAGACCGTGCGCATATATACGGCGGGTAGAAAGAAGTATTTACACACCTCGTCATTCTTGAGGTGAGTTTACACGAGGGCGAAGAAAATATCGCCGCGGAGCTATCTGTTGAAACTAGAATTGGAAATTATATTTGAGGCTCCGAATTTTTAAACCTTCGACGTATTACATTCGAATAATGAAATGTTGAGACGTGAAAATTCGAACATATTCGATTATTCGGAACTTCAAGAACCGGAAAGTTCGTTCGATTACTGAATTCTTCCATGTGGAAGGTTCCTATTGCAATTCGTTTCGTAGGCGTAGTAAATAGTGCTCGCCATCGTAAAGAATATAATTTTTTTCTTGCATCGCGCGTTGTGTTGTCACATGTCACGGCGAAATCCGCATTTGTCTCGAAACAAAGTTAACGAGACCTTTTGTCTATTTTATTCGTGTCTTTTTTTTTTTCATTCACTTTGTTTTAAAACAGACACATAAATCCCAGAGTTGAGCTGAAGATACTTAAACCGATGCTAATTGCACAGAATTTTGTTACATTCTCCAAAATTCGTCCCATCAAACGCTCCGATAATTCGAATAGGTGGAAACAGTTTATCAGCGTTTCCACTAATATATCGAATAAGAAGGCGTGTCACGGTGATACTCTTCCTTCTCTCTCGTGCGAGATTATCTCGGGAAAGTTGAGAAGTGCGAACGTACCTTTGACGCGCAAGGAACGCGCGCGCGCGCGTCTTTTCAGCGAGACGCCAGTATTCCTTACTTTTCCGCGCGCGTAAGACGTTTTACGGTACATTTATACCACCGCCGGCTCACTAACATGTAATTTTGATGAGGGGCCGTAATGCCCAGCGACATGCGATGTAAGTAGACTCTTTAATGAAGCCATAGTTGGCGAACTCGTCCTTCAGAGCCCGACAGAAAGTAGGGCTTCGCAGGAGATCGCCTGTGATGCGACTTCGCCTTCGCCAAGTTTGCGTCTGAATACAGACGAGTTTGTAATTGATTACGAACGGTGACAGGAATCGTTGTCTCGATGAATTACAATGGCTTATTATCATAAGTCTCTGTGTGACGGGCACCGCCGTTAATACGAGAATTTATCCGTACGGGATTCGCCCGCCGAGATAACGCGACGCGCGGTAATGTGATCCTTTGCGACACAGGGCATACACACACACACATATAGAGAGATAGAGAGAGAGAGAGAGAGAGAGGGAGGGTTATAGGACACGTAATTAGCAATAATTTTTGATATCGCGAGAGCTCACGCGCTCAATGGTACACAATAATCCACCGATGTGAATCCCGTCAAATATTCCGTTCAGATTGCGAAGTGCCCGGTGATTTTTACGCTAAATGTGACATCGATATTCAATCAGCGGCGTGCGCATTCCTATTATTCCCACTGTAAAGAGCGGCGATTCTCGTTGAATAAACGATACCGTGCGCTCGCTTTTAAAGCACACACAAAAGCGCGTCGCGCTGTAATAAACACTTTTTTCCCCGCGACGTAAAATGAAATGCCGGCCGATTATACGTACGTCCGCCACGGCTAAAGCTGCTTTTGTTTTAAAGAGACCTCGAAATAAAACGCGCGCGCGCGCGCGCGCAAAGAAGACCCGGGCGGACGGGGGGGGGGCGGTAGGTCGAGATTAAGGTCGCGTCTCTCCCTCTCGTTTTTTCGCCTTTCTTCTTCCCTTTTTTACGTTTTAGCCACGCTGGCCATCAAGTATGTTGTATGCATAATGGAAACGGCGGGAGAAGAGAGAGAAAGAGAGATGGAAGGAGGGGAAGGGGGAGAGGAGGCAGGGAGAAAATATACGACGCTGCGGAACTTTCCTTCCTTCCTTCCTTCTCTCGACCCGCCATCTGCACGCGTAGAAATATATTTCCCGCTCATAATGAAAAACTTTCGCTCGAATATCTCGGCCGATGTCGCATTGTATTTAGCTCGCGTAATCGGCATCTCCCGGCGCGCTCGTGATTGCACTTCACGTCGAATCGCCGTGATTAAGCGATACTTTGAATGTTTCTCGGCGAGAGGCAGACTCGAGCGTAACGCTAAACCGAGATCTCGGCTGTCTCTGATTTCTGTGTGCGAGAAAGAAAGGGAGCGATTCTTTCGGTATTTCACACGCCGATCCGTATCCGATATCTCCGCATTATTCTTAAACAGCGCGCATAATTATCTCGAAACGAGAGAGCGGTAGAAAGAGGAGAGGGATACGTTCCGGCGACACGCCGAACGAACGCGGTGAAATGAAAGAAAGCGAACGCCACGTGCGCGCGTATTCACTTTCTATGCGATTCGAACTGGTCGCTCCGATTCCGGCGCTATCGGTATCCCCTACGGATCGTATTATCGGCCGTTATTATCCGCGCCGAAAATCCACTCGGTAAAAAGTCGGGCGCACGCTTTTCGCGCAAATTTGCGGAAAGACAATCCGCCGGTGAAAAGCCCGGCCGTTCGTGAAAAACGCGCGCGTCGCCGCACAAAAAAAAAGTTACCATGAACGCGACGTGTCCGTATAACACACTGACCTCAAACCGTTTCGCATCCCCGACCATCCCCAACGATGCACCGATTTACCCTGATATATACACACACATATGCGCGTGCGCGCATACAAGTGCGCGGACACACACATGCTCGCTCGTGGCATGAAATCGTGAGTTCCCTCACTCTCTGTCCTCTCTCTCTCTCTCTCTCTCATCAATCTCCCTCAAATCGGTACGTCCGGATGTCATGCGTTTTACCCTTATCGACAATTCGATGCCCGGCCGAACATCCAGGCAGATTTTCACGCTTTTTGCGAAACCGTGCTGCGGCGGACAGAGGCCAATGAGTATCGATTTCGGCTTCGGCCGGCCACCGCTATGCAACTCCAATCAAACCGCAGTTAGTACAAATAAGGTTGCCACGAAACAAACGCAGCCGTTAGTCCGGCGCCTCCGCGCGTCGTTACATCAATTTCACGCATCATTATCGCGATTGTTTAATCGGCTGATCGTGTCGTCCGTGCACGATCAGCCAGTTTCGATGACACGATCGTTCAAAAGACAGCCTGTCAAGCGAAAAATACACCCGGCATCGCGCGCGTTGCGATTACATAACTGTTAATGCGCAATTAAAATATTCCGCCAAGTCGAGTCCGTGTAAAGGAAATTTACGATTCGTAAAGGGAATTCATGCGATCAGCCACACTCTCTCTCTCTCTCTCTCTCCCTCCTTCTTCGTTCTGGAATTGAAACGGCTGTTAAATCCAGTATTATGTAACATTAATTAGCCAACAGTTTCGATAGGATCGTATCAGGTAATTAATGCGCCAACCAGATCGCGCTCGGATCTCGTGCGCGTTCCACTTTTCCCCACACCACGAATTAATTTGGCGAGCGAGATGAAAAAGCATCGCGCAACGGTATGCGCAGGTACGCCGGCACGCCGGTGGATTAAAAGGGCTCGCACCCTTTTCCATAAAAATGTCTACCATTGCGAATAAATCGCCGTCTGCTAAATAAAGCTCGCGCCACTTATCGACGAGCGAAAATTAGAACGCGCGGGATTAACGTAACGTTTTCGTTGTTCTTCCGATATGCAACCAAGCTTTTTGTCTCTCGCCGCCTTTTTCCTTTTCCCCCCCGTAACGAAGGGAAGACAAAGCGCACGTGAAATCGCAAAAGAGTTCATAGAACGCGTTACAATAATACGACGGTAATTCGATTGTCATACAATTGATCTTCGTTCTCTCGGACCTACTTTTTGCGCACGAGTGCGTGATATTAATCACGTGATATTATATAATATCGTGTGACAAATTTTTAATGAAAACGTTCCGGATAATTCGCGAATTCCCGGTATATGCCGATTGCGATCTCCTCGTGCTGATTTAATCGGGGCGATCTATGAAATACGCGTCGTCCGTCCTCGACAACGCGTTGTCGAGCGTTCAGCGCGCGCTCCAGCCAAGTATGTAATTTCGATCGTTCGCGTCAGAAATTGATTCGTCAATTCGTCAACGTCGTTGCCGTTCCTAATGTCATCCCCGGCAGCGTCACACCGCCTTCCGCGACGACCCTCGCGACGATTCAATTTCGACGTGCCGCGGCCGTAATTCATAATTCCCGGCGTAGATTCGATCTAGAACCCCTTAGCAAACCTCCCTCGGGGTGTATCCACCCGTCCGTCAACATGTCCGTCCGTCCGTTCGGCCGGAGAGCGAGCACGTTCGTGCACCGCCTGCACACACGTGTGCATACGCACGCGGAGTGTATTGATTACGAGCATTAGCCGACAGCGAGAAAGAGAGAAAAAAAGAGCGGCGGAAGCGGAAGAGAGAGAGAGAGAGAGAACGGAATTTTTCAACGCAAATTGAAAAGTTTGCCTCAAAGCGCCGATGTATCCCGATGTGAATGCCGCGTGTGCTTCGATCGCAAAATGCCGCGCGGGGATTCCAGCCGGGGATTCATCCTCGCTAACGAGAGGGGTGCATTCTGTCAGTGGGGTTTTTAGAGAGCGCAACGCGAATGGGTCAGTAGTTCAGCCGCCTATATTTCGGTCAGCGTCCTCGGCAGCCGGCAGTTTCTACGGTCGTGGTAGTGGTGGTCGCGGTAGCGGAAGGGAAAGCTGCCGCGCGACGACCGAGGGTCCGTCGCTTAAGGTAATCACGTTGTTAACCATTGTCGTGCGTGAATGACAATTCTACGTAGCGATAATCCCCGCCGTGATCCGTCCGTCCCGCGCACGTCCCTCGTTCGCGTAGAACTCG